GCTCCTCCGCCGCGCGCTCCCCGGCGCCTCTGAGGCCGATCGCGGCTCCGCTCCGCCGGCGGCTCGCGGCCGGGCACAGGAAATGACCTCAGCAGGCCCCAGCCTCCCACCGCTCCGCACCGCTGGCCGGGGGACGCTCGCGGGATGGGGGCCACCCCCGGGTCCTCCCCCTGAAGCAGGTTCCAGCGCTGGCCCGGCCACCTGTAAGAATGCGGCGCCCGGATACTGAGAGCAGAGCCCGCATTTCAAACGGGCTGCCCCTGCTGATTTGTAGTTGGGGGAGAAACGGGGGTGTCAAGCGCAGTCCAAAGAGTACTTTGCTTGCTTATGTGCATATTTTCTTAGTTTATTTCTTGTTTGTTTGGTTTTTTGTTTGGTTGGTTGGTTTTCTTCCGGTACCAGGAATCGAACTCACGACCTTGCGCTTGCGAGGCAGGCGCTTTGCCGCTGAGCTAAATCCCCAGCCCCTTCTTAGTTTAAAGGAGAAGGCCAGGGAGCCAGAAAGGCAAGCGGGACGCTCATCAGGAGGCCTCGTAGCTCAGGCATTTGCTGTCCCTCACTCACCCATTATACTCTCACTCCCAGGAGCTGGTGAGGTTGGTGCAGGCTAGGAAGGTGCCAGTGAAGACTGCGGGGTGGAGCTTTCCTGTCGGTGTAGCTCGTGGTTGAGTGCGACATTAGCTTGCACCAAGCCCTGAGTGCGAGCCCCAGGGCCAACGAAAAGACAAGAACGAGGAGGAGGAGGAAGAAGAAGGAAGAAAATACAGTGCGTTCTTCCCCACTGCAGTGCTTCAGTCAAGGCCAGAACAAAAGCAAACCAGCACCAGGGCCTGTTTGTCCAGGAGGGCGTTGGAAGACAGGTGCCCGAGAAAGGTCCCTGGCCCCACCCCAGGTTCGAATCTCTATCTCTAGGTGCGCGGCTGGGGACTTGCCCTTTGAACCAGCTCCCCAGCTGGTTCTCCAAGGAGAGCTGTCAGTCTGGGTCACCGGGACTCCAAAGGCTGAACTTGAACTTAAATGGCTTTATATAACTCAAGGAGATTGAGATAGATCGGTCCCATTTTGTGGAACCCTGGCCTCTGCTGTCCCCTTCAGCACTCCAGAAGTTGCCCAAGGAAGCCCAAAAGCAAGTCCTCTGGATTTTCCAAAGAGGATGTTGATTCATTCATTCATTCACTCTGGTTTTTTTTGTTTATTTGTTTTGTTTGTCTTTTTGAGACAGGGTCTCACTATGCAGTTCAGGATGGTCTTGAACTCACTTTGTAGCCCAGGCTGGCCTCGAACTCTCAAGGATCCTCCTGCTTCAGCCTCCGGAGTGCTGGGATTACAGGCGTGCGCCACCACATCTGGCTCATTCATTCACTCTGAACCGTGCACAGGGTATAAATTTCAGTAATACTCAAAGGTAACACTACCCCTTTGTCCCCAGATCACCCATGTCAAACACAACTGTAAAACTGCACCTTTTCAAGGTATTTTAGGTATACTTAAGAGTTCATATATTCAAGGTAAATGAATATATACCTATTTGTGTGTATGTATTCACTTCCACCTTTTAACACATGCTTTATTTCTCTTAATAATATCTGTTGTCTCTAAGTTGGCATATTAGCACACCGAGAGCAGCCTTGATCTTTTAATAGTTTCTTAATACTTGTAATAATGAATATTTAAGATGTTTCCAACCTTTGCCTGTTATATATCTGATTACGATGAATGCCTTTGTACATATTTCTTGGTCCATATGTGGGACTGTCCATATGATTTAATAATTTAAAACAGATCACTGATCCAGTCATGTTGGCCCACATGTATAATTCCAGCACCCTAGGAAGCTGAGGCAGGAAGATCACAAGTTTGAGCCCAGCGTGGGCAATTTAGTGGCTTAGTGAGACCCTGTTCCCCCAATTTTTTTTGTACTGGGCATCGAACTTATGACCTCAGGCTTGCCCTGCAAGCATTTATGTCACTAAGCTATATCCCCAGCTGTGTCCCAAGATTAAAAAAGAGTCTGGACATAGGTTAGTGCAAAGGTCCTGGTTCAATCCCCACTAGTGAAGAAGGAAAAAAAAGAGACACACATGCACGCATGTGGCAAAGGAGAGAGTGCAAATTTTAAATTTCAAAAGCTGGTGCCAAATGGCCCTCAAAGGAAGCTGCACCAACCTAACTTGCATCAGTATATTCCAGTGCCCCTTCCTTCCCTCCAGCCTGGGCCAGTCGCATGATTTATGCAAACTTTTTAAAGGGAAAAGCTAAACAAACTAGTGTGTGTAAGGATTTTATTCTATTTTATGTATGTATGTGTGTATGTATAATCTTTGCAGTACTGTGAGTTGAACCCTGGGTCTTCTCACCTATCTACATCCCCAGCCTTTTCTTTTCTTTCTTATGGTGGGCATGGTGACACACAACTATAATCCCAGCACTCAGGAGGCTGAGGCAGGAGGAGCGTCGCAAACTCGAGACCAGCCTGGGCTACAAAGTGAGCTCAAGCCCAGCCTGAACTGCATAGCGAGACCCTGTCTCAAAAAACTCAAAAATAAAATAATTCTTTTTTTATTTTGAGACAGATTCTCCCTAGATTGCTAAATTGCCCACACTGTGTTTGCACTTGTGATCCTCCTACCTCAGCTTCCCAGAATACTGGGATTACAGGCATGTCAGGCATGTGTCACCATACCTAGCTATGTTTATAAAGATTTTAAAAGACTTTTAGGTAGAACTAAGAACACCACTCAGGAGACTGAAGCAGGAGGATCTCCATGAGTTGAAAACCAGCCTGAACTGCTACTGAAACCCTATCTCAAAAACAAACAAACCAACCAAACCAAACCCGACTACTGTTATCTCAGAGAGAAAGTATTAGTGTGACTTCCATGTGACCCCCTCCCTTGCTTTGGGCTCTCTTTTTATCCCAGTTGTGTAACTTGGGCAAATTCTTTAGGCACACTGAGAGTTAGTATTTTTAACTCTTCAGTTTCCTTATCTTCTACCTTTTTTTCTTTTTGGTGGTGAGGGTGTAATTGTTTGTTTTCAGACAGGGTCTTGTGTGTTGCCTAGGCTGGTCCCAAACTCTCAATCCTTCTGTCTCAGCCTCCCAAGTTCTAGGATAACAGTCATGTACCAGCCGGTTTCCTTATCTTTAATGTGAGGACTGTCAGTCTCTCTGAGGTTAGTTTGAAGATGAAATCAAATAGCCAGGCGTGGTGCCACATGCCTGTAATCCCAGCACTCATGAGGCTGAGGCAGGAGGATCATATCAAGGTCTGAGGCCAGCCTAAACTGCATAGAGAGATCCTGTCTAAAACAAAACCAAAGCAAAAAAAAAAAAAAAAAAAAATTAAATCAAAGAATATAATTACAAATCTTGGGATCCAATAAATGATACCGATCCCCCCGCCTTTTTTGGTATTGAGTATTGAACATAGGGCTTCTCACCTACTAGGTAAACGTTCTACACCTGAGCTATATTCCCGGCTTTTTAAAAATTTTACTTTGAGACAAGGTCTCATTAAATTGCCTAGGCTGGCCTCAAAGTTGTGATTGTCCTGCCTCAGTCTCCCAAGCAGCTAAGGCGACAGGCAGTGCACCACCATGCCCAGCTTCTCCAACATTTTATTTTGAAATCTGCAAACTTCATAGAAGTTGCAAAAAAAAGTCCATGAAATACTCACATGCTCGTGCCTCTCATTGGAATTTACCAACTGTTAACATTTTGCCACATTTACTTTTACTGTTACGTGAGCCATGTCCAAATTTCTCCACTGGCCGCAATGTCTTTCATAGCTGGGTTTTGTAGCTCTATTTATCACTTCCGATCCTTACCTTGTGCTCACGGAGGTCAGTGATGGTTCCCTCCTGGCTCCACAGCCTGACCCTGCAGGAGCGAGGCCATCGGAGTCCACTGGGGGCGGAAGTTTCCTAGCGTACACTTGAGGTCTTCTCATCAGCCTTCTTTGCTGAAGTTTTCTCTGCCTGGCTCCAGCCATCCTGGAGGGCATTCTGGAAAAGTCCTTCCTGCCGGCCCTGCCTCCCTCCCAAGGGTCCTCCCACTGGGTCCCTGGTTAGCACTGGGGAAGCCTGTGGTGCCCTCAGCCACCGCCCCTCACCCCTGATGCAGGAAGTAGCTGAGGAAAAGTGTAGAGAAAGAAGGGAGGGCGCACCTTGAAGCCTGATTTCCGAACTAGACCCACCTTCTCTTCTAAGGGGCTTTTATTTTGGTCTTTTGTTTTTTCTTTTTTGGTGTCAGGAATCGAACTCAGGGCCTCGCACTTGCCAGGCAGGCACTGGCCGCTGAGCTACATCCGCAGCGCTCCAATTTGTGTTAAACATTAACCCAGGACCAGGATATCCAGGTCTGCACACAATGGAGAGAGTAACCAGGTAACCCAGTTTAGACCCAGGAAGTCTCTGGGTGTGTGTCCAGTCCTCAGCAACCCTGGGCGTGCCAACCGCAGCCCTAGTTACCATGTCATTGACGATACAGTTGTGACCCCCACCTCCTGATCCACCCTTGCCCCCTGTGGACTTCGGACACCATGACAGCTCCTCCAAGGGCCGTGAAAGAGGGGCAGAGCCAAACCACTCATTGGCAGAGGCAAAACCTCAGACCAACCCCTCAGTCCCACCCTAAACCCTAACAAAACTTTCAGCACCAGCCTCCTTGGAGCATGAGCTGGGCTCACCAGCCCCGCCACCCTGTGCAGTATACTTTCACTTTCAGTGTCTTTGATCTTGGCTGGTCCTTTGGGTGTCCTGCTCAATTGTTTGTTCAAAACATCAAGAACTTGGACGACTCCACCTCCCCTACTCCGCCCAATCTAGTGACAGTCCCACCTAAGAAATGCATCCCTGGGCCTCCAAGCTGCCATGCCTCTGATTTAACCCTGAGATGAAGAGAAACTTGTCTTTGACCCAGTCTTTCTGGCTTAAGACGCATTTTATGTGAGCTTTCAGAGGAACTGAGGCTGACCATCGAGCTCTGGCTGCAGGCCAGCTTCAGACAATACCATCAGCTGACGCTGACATCGCTCCTTCCCTTCCTGTCTCCCTGCATTCATTCACTGATGGTAGCTGACTTTGAAGCTGTTCCAGGTGCTCTGTAAGACGCCCCTGACTGTAAGCTGGGGAAAGCCGCATCCTTGCTCCCCGACTCAGTTTGTCGTGCTGTAAAATGAGAAAATTATTTCCTAGCACAGTTGCCCTTGAGTTTAAAATAGTTGAGAGTTGGAGGAGCACGCAGGATCATGAGGAAGTTACCACCGCAGAGAGAGAGTCTGCAAAGCTGAAATAAAGACCATCTTGGGTACCATCTTTGGCGAGTGCTGAGGGAGCAGGAGAGCAGGAAGGGTGAGGGTGGGAACTGGGGGACACAGGAGCTGGAAGGAGCCCCAGAACCCTCAGAGGAGCGGCGGAGAAATGGCACTCAGCACAACACGGAAAGTTCAGAAAGTTCCTTTCTGTTGGATGTAGCTTATTATTTCCAGATGGCCTGAAAAAGGAAGATGGATCGGAGACGGGAAAAGCGCCACCACGTGCCCCGGGTTGGAGGGGCATTTCTGCGGGAGGCCGATGAGGCACCCCTTGCCGAGGAGCCTGAGCCAGCTTCTGCTTTGGTGATGTTGGGTTCTTTTATTACCGATAGGACCCGCAAGGTGAGTACTGTGGAGGCCATTTATCTTCTCCTCTACCACCACTTACAGGTAGGCTATTAAAGATGGCTAAGGCCAGGGCCAACTTTGGTGGCGCACAGCTGTGATCTCGTCGTTCAAGTACTGAGGCCGGGAGTTCGAGATCAGCCTGAACTACCTTGTGAGACCCTGTCTGAAAAAACAAAAACCAAAACCAAAACCAAAAGGCTTAAGGCCAAATTCTGCCAAATACAATATATTGGCAAGCAGACACAAAACAGCTAACCTACTTCCAGGAAGGCAGGCAGTTGGCGTGGTCTGGTTTTTAACCATTCATTCATGAATCAAGGGCAGTAGAGCCTGGCTAATCTTCCTGGCCGGCTCCATATTGTGAAAACCACTTATTTCACCAGTGAAAGATTATTTCTAGCATCTCTCAGGAGCATTAAGCCCTTGGGTGTAGATCTGGATGGTCTTTGAAGTGCTTATGTAACTGAGCTCTGGAGTGCAGATTCCTGATTAGGCCACTTCAGATGCTAACTCCTTGCTCTGGGGTCAGAGGAGAGGTCAGTTTACACACACATACACACACACACACACACACACACACACACCCCGGAGGTTTAAACTCAAATGTTTAAAAAATAAACTCCTACTGGAGTGGGTATAACATTATCCTAGGACTAACCAGTATTTATTAAGCAAGAGAAAAATGAGGAGATGCCAGCCAAGGGGAGTGGGACAGGGAGGAACTACCCTGTCAGGAAACGGCTGTGCCTGGCCAGTTCAAGACTCTGCTGGTTGACGCTTAGGGGACTGCTGGATGGTAGCGCTAGGCTGCAGGAAAAAGGACGGGAACCTGGGAACTGACCAGGACACGCTGCAAATCCTGGCACTACTGCTTAGGTGGCCATGTGGTCCTTGAGGCGGTTAAGTTTTCTGAGTTGTTTATAAAACAGTGATAGTAGCCATTCTTGTCACTTAGGGTGTTGAAAGAGTTCAATGAGATAGTATGTTATCTGTCATGTGACTTTCAAATAGTAGGTTTTTGTTATCATCAGTCTTTGAACAAATATTTGTTGAAGGTCTAATGACCTTGAGCATGTACCATCTCCCAGATGGGGATATAAAGATGCTCAAGCGGCCTCTTTGTTTTAAGATGAATAGATCTTGGGCTGGGGATTTAGCTCAGTGGCACAGCGCCTGCCTGGCAAGTGCAAGGTCGTGAGTTTGATTCCCGGTACCCGAAAAAAAGCAAAAAAAAAGATTAATAGACCTTTTTTTGTTTGCTTGTTTTGTTTTTCTTCCGCTACCAGGAATTGAACTCACGACCTTGCACTTGCCAGGCAGGCGCTTTGCCGCTGAGCGAAATCCCCAGAACCCCCCCTTTTTTTTTTGGTGCTGAGAATTGAACTCAGGACCTTGCGCTTGCCAAGCAGGTGCTGTGCCACTGAGCTCTATCCCTGGCCCCGTTTAAGATTGTAATAGCAGAGGCTGGAAGGACAAGAGTAACTCTAGGAGAGCTAGTTAAATGTTTGACATTATCCCATAAAAACCCCACCTTCTGGGCTCTGGGCTTTGAGGAGACCCCTCCTGCTTCACCCAAACCCTCACAAATCTTCTGTTAGAAAAAGAAGAAAGGGAAAGGATGGAAGTATGAAAAGCAAGAGGAAGAGAGAGGTCTCAGATTCTCAGGAGCTCTTGGACTAGTTATTTATTTTTTTAGCTAGAGTCTCACTGTGTAGCCCGGGCTGGCCTCCAACTCACTGCGATTCTTCTGCCTCAGCTTCCTGAGTGCAGACATTACAGACATGCACCAACACACGTGGCAGTAGGGTAGTTTGTTGTTTGTTTGTTTCTTCCTTCCTTTATTTATTTATTTATTTATTTTTCTTCCTTTCTTTCTTTTTTCTTTTTGAGATAGGGTCTTGCTATGCAGTTCAGGCTGTACTTGAGCTCACTTTGTAGCCCAGGCTGGCCTCAAACTCGCAGTGCTCCTCCTGCCTCCGCCTCCTGAGTGCTGGGATTACAGGCGTGTGCCACCACGCCCAGTTTGGTAGTTTCTTTAGAAATGGCTCACCAATCAAAAGTATCCCAGGTTCTTCTTGCCTCAGACAAAGAATTGGATGAGACAAGCCAATAACAGTGCCAAAAATTTATTTGAAAGTGTGAACTAAATGGGTATGGAAGAAACCAGCCCTGCAGAGCTACCTTGGGCTGAACACAGAAAAAAAGAGGGTAAGAGCAAAAATGAAAGTATGCGTCTCGTCCGAGAAACGTGGTGCTGGCTACCGTACAAACTCACACACGATAGCAGCCACTCTTATGCCGTCCACGTGGGAGCTCTGGAGAAGTCCTACAAACTGGGTCCTGGCGTTGCCCTGGAGTCTTGTGATTGACAGGTCCTACCCAGTTCCCCCAGCCAGCTTTGGCGCCCCCTGTCTCCTATATCACTCCTGCCTCAGCCTCCCAAGTGCTGGGGTTATAGGTGTGTACCTTCGGGTTGGTTCTGGTCCAGCCTCTGCCTCAGGAGCCAAGGGCAGAATTTAGTAGCCTTCGGTCACTGAGAGATCCTCCGGAGGCTATCTACTGTCCAGTCTCTGAGAGCCGCTGGGTGACTGTGGGTTGGGTCAGAGAATCTTAGGATCACTATCCAAGCAGGATCAAGAGGGCAATGGTTGGACTTACCATGAAGAGCAGAGGAGGCAGGCAATGAGATGGTCAGGGGCAGAATCTGTGTGCGTGTGTTTGTGTGTTTTAACTTTGACCATGGGGTCGTCTTCCCTTTTTGTTGTTTTTTTTCCGGTACCGGGAGTCGAACTCACAACTTCGCGCTTGCCAGGCAGGCGCTGTGCCGCTGAGCTAAATCCCCAGCCCCTGGTCTTCCTTTTATTCAGTTACTCACAAACATATTCCCAAGCACTTGCTATTTCCCAGGCTCTGTGCTAAGAAGCAAAGTATAACAAATACGACCCAGTGAACTCAGGGCCACGGCTCTAGGGCTGGCGGTGCCTGCCCTGCATTCTTGGCGCTTCCCAGCCAAAACGCAGCATGGAACTCATGCAGCGAGGACATTGCTGGAAAAGAGAGCCAGGCCGGGCAGGTGGAGAGGAGGGCGTTTCCTCTGCGCACAGGAGTCAGTGTTCCTCCCTAAGGTGGTTGCAAGGTGGAGATGGGGCTGGAAATGTCGCTCAGTGATACAGTGCGCAAGGCCCTGCCTTCAAACCCCAGCACTGCAATGATTCGATAAATCAACAGTGGAGATAAAGGGTCTGCCCGATGCCTGGCGTAGGCACGTCTTATTAAACTGCTATTTAATATCAAACAAGGAGGATCTTGAAGGCATGAAAACATAAACATCAACCCAAAGACTGGGGACTGACAAGCTAATACAGAAGGGGGGTGGGTGGAGAAGGGGGGTCTGTTCAAGGAGGATTTCGATGAGGAGGTGGACAGTGATTCCAATGTAAAATCCTGAGGGCACTGATGGGAAATACAGACTCCAGGCCCCAGCCTGGCCATTTGGGTCAGCAGGCCTAGGACCTGCAGGTTGTCATACGTACGTCGCACTCTGACACCGCAGCGATCTCGGGCAACAGCTCCAGGGAGGAGCATGGGTGGAACTGATGTCACGACAACACGCACCAGTGCAGAGATCCGTCCTGTGCAGCTGCGGGCCTGTGAGCAGGAGACCGTGGGGTGGGAGCGGAGAGGAGGGCCACAGGGAAGCTGAGTGG